ATGGTACAACTTTTGATCTCTCCATGGAAATTGAGGCGTGGTAAACTCGCCGCTTTAAAATATGATAGCTGCATATTACGGATCCCTTCCAGAGAACCAGAGATCCAACAACGGAAAAGCAATAGGCGCCGGAGTGAAAGACTCCGACGTCAAAAGGGGTAGAGAGAGAAGAGAGAAAAGTCAACCATGGTCAAAGCGATATGTTTAGCTTTTTAAAATCATTAGTGGGTTAAATTTATATGATATAGGTACATATATTTACTTAATTCAGTTGATCAAAATCTAATTTTTGTTTCTCCATAAACATGTCAAATACTGACATATTACCTAATTCATGTGTGCGTTTGTGTATGTATAACTTCTTGCAAACATTAAGTGTATATGTATGTCTATGATTTATATATATAAAGTGCACTTGTGTAACTTATATTACTAAGAGAAAGACATATAAGGAACTCGAGGAGTGTTTGCGTTAAAGGAAACTGCTTGATGGCCTCTGATTGGGATTCGGTTTGCATGTTATTTTTGAATTTCCATGATTTGGTTACAATTTGAGGTAAATTAATGATTGCTTTTATGGCAAGAATGTGGCTAGTTCTTAAATTCAAACAATGGGGTTTCTGGTTCTGAGCAAGGAAACCAATTTTGGGGAAGATAGTTTGGGCACCCACACGTGGGCTAGGTACATGAGCTAAGAAGCGTGGATACGACACGACACACGGATACGACATGACACGACACGGATACGACGACACGGCCAATCCAGAAAAATTAGGACACCGACACGGTGGATTATAAATAAATAAATATCTATATTATATTGTACTTTGAGAAATTAAGAGTAATATTAGTTTTTACAACCTCATAATGAAAAAAAATTGTATTTTGCTGGGAAAGAGAAAGAATGACAGAGAGAGTTAACAAAGAGGAAGGAAAAAAAAAAAAAATGAGGATTAGGCCTAAGTTAAAAATAAAGGTAAGAATCCATAGAAGAAAAAAGTTCATGGAGAATAGAGGAAAAAGGACAAAGAAACGCAAAATCAAATTTATTGTGAAAGGAAAAAAAGAGGTATCTTAGGATTTGTGGAAAACAATAAGAAGAAAGAATAGAGGGGGACGAAGAAGAAGAGAGAAAAGAGAAGAGAGAGATATAGAGACCATCCACTGGTAGCAAAGCTTGGTTGGTGGGAGAACAAGATGATCGTGCAAGAATTCGAACCTTGAACTAAAATATAAAGATAAATATCTAATTGTTTTAATATAAAATTGTTTTATAAAGCAACAACTTTTAAGTAATTATGTAATTAGCATCATATTGCTGAAAGTTATTAAACAACTCCTAATATTTGTACTTCAAATCAACATTGTTTCTAAAACTTTTTTAAAAATCCGCAAGAATGGGACGCATGTCCAATGGCAGGTCAGACGTGTGTCCAAGGCATATCCGAATATTTAAGAAAATATATAATATTCGGACAGGTTTTTTGGCTTGTCCGACAAGTGTTGAGGCTTTGTCCGGCGTGTGTCGGTGCCCGACATGTGTCCGACACGGATTCTTTGTCCTTTTAGGCGTGTCCGTGCTTCCTAGTGCATGAGCGAGAGCTTAGGCCACACCAAGCCCACATCAGGATTGTTTTGGTCATTTTGTGTTCACTCGCCGACCCCAATAAGTTGGGCCCACATCTGGGTACTACAGAAATAAATTAAGATTGTCAATAAATTAAAAATTTTAAAAAATAGGGAAAATATTACAATTTTCTAGAATATTATATTTTAGGTTTAATGAACTTAATTATGGTGAAATAAGTGATTGTCGTGGGTCCCCCCCCTCGGGGGCGGCGGGACTCACACGCACTGCTTCCACTGAGGATTGAACCCCTGACCTCCCTTTGGGAAGTAGGAGCCTTGTACTGCTAGGCCATAAGCCTGTTGGTGATTTTAGCCGTGGTTTAGGTAGTGTAATTGAATTATAATCTTAAATGAAAGGAACAATAACAAATGAATGGAAAAAAGTACAATTGTCGCAATATATAAAATAAAGGTGATGACAAAACTATAGTAAATATTTAGGAAGAAAATTAATGAGTTATACGGTGAAATTGTGGGAATGGGTTATAGAACAAAGACTATGGAAATAAGCAAACAGATTTGCACATGGGTTTCATTGACTTTGAGTTCCAAGGGATATAATTTGGTGACTTTGCATAGAAAATAAGTCCCTGTAAATCTTATTAACAATACCAAGGATATGTATGAGAATACAAAGACCATGGACGTACTGTTTGTGGAGAAACTAACGATTTCTCTATAAAAGTGGGTTTACACTAAGGATCAGTACTTAGCCCATACCTATTATATAGATTAGTCTTAGATGGAATACAAAAGGACATCCCATGGTGTATATTGTTTGCAGATGACAATGTGTTGGTGGATACATCTAAAGAAGACTTCAGAGTATCAAATTGGAAACTTGGTAAAATGCACTTGAAACAAAAGGTCTAAAATTTAGTAAATCTAAAATAGAATGTATGGAGTATAAATTTAATAAAGAATAAAAAAGTAATGGTTTAATATAACATAAGAAATCCAAGATCATAGGGTCACTAAACATCATCATTTTCGATATGAGAAAATGGGGAAATGGACGATGCTATCACTCGTAGGATTGGAAAGAGTTGGACTAATTGGAGACAAGCTAGTGCTATCTTATGTGATTAAAAAAATATGAAACAGGTTAAAAGGAAATTTTATAGGACGACCATTGGACTAGCTATATAATATGGGGCAGAGTGTTGGGTGTTAAAAAAGAGACAAGAATGATGCATTCACGTGACTCAAATGAGGATGTTGAGGTGAATGATTGGAGTAACTAGAAAAGATAGAGTTACTAATCAAAATGTGAGGGGACTCTAGGCATAGCTCCTATTAGTGACAAAATAAGAGAAAATAGACTTTAGGTGGTATGGACACGTAGAATGGAGGCCCGTTGATGTGTCCGTCGTTAACAAGGGAAAAGTAGTTTGCATACAAAAAAAGAGAAAATAAAGATAGCCAAAAGGCCCAAAACTATCACGGAATGAAGTAATTGAAAATGATTTTAAAACATTAAATCTTAGAGGAGAAATGGTGTATAATAGAATAGAATGGAGAGAAAGAAACCATGCGGCCGACTCTATACATTTGGAAAATAAGGCAATGATGATGATGATATATTGAATTAACCTGAAACGAAAAATCGGTAAAAAGTTAGGTTTTGAAATTTTACTGAGACCTAGAGCTGATGTTAAGAGAGCTGAACGAATTTTGTACACTCACTGGTTTGTATTTGAGTCTCAAGTAATGATTAAAAACACATTAATAATTGGTTAAAAATTGTTAATGGATTATTACATGTAATCACTTTTGAGCCTGAGAATAATGCTGAGAATACATTAGTGTTGACTGGGTCAGCAACTTTGGGAAACGTGCTAATGGGTTAATAGGTTTTAAATCCAAGAAAAGTAAGTAAATGGAACCAAGATATAGTATATGACGAATTCTCCTATTTAAGTAGAATCAAATGGTTAATTGTAAATTGTGCACATAGTGAAAGTTAATTATAATTTGTAAAATAATATAATGTAAAGAACTTAAACTTAAAACTGAATCTATTATAGACAGTTGAAATTATGTTCGACTGTCTAAGTGGGAGGTGGGCCCTATGATCTCCTTAGATTAGTTTGAACTACTTGGGGCAGTGACGATGCGTTCACACTCCTGGTGAGAGTTGGAGGGGAAATTGGGGATTGGTCTCATGAGGATGGTCTGGACCTGCTTAGTGGGAGTGCAGTACCCTTTTTGTTATGGCCATTGGGCTGAGCATGCTAGATGTGGACGTGATCTGGGACCATCCAATTGAGTAGATGTACAAACCCAGCCACATTTATGTTTTCAATAGTTCGGGATTATGCGATGCACATCAGCTTGTTGGAGTATGGGATCTTATACTCGTGATTTTGAGTGCGAGCCATTTGTTTTATTGATGCTCGGGATTCATGTTTAACAAGTGAATTTAATACAGGTTAATCAAGATGGTTAACTAATCAATTTATTGAGATTAAGGAAACTGACATAACTTGGTGGAAACCTAGTAAAATCAATAAAGATGGTTAACTAATTAATGGTTTTTAATTGTGAAAACTTATGTGAATTTTGAACTCTAATATAAAATTAATGATATAACAGTTATCTAGTAATGAGATGAGATATAATAAAAAAATGTGTTAATAATTATTCTATGGATTGAGGTTGAGTAATAATTTTGTAATCAACTTGAAATATGGTTGAAAATATAATAATTTATTAGATATTAATTATTATACGAAATTGATAGTGATAATATATGAAAATAGAGTAAATAACTTGAGATAAGTTAAACTTGATTAATGTACCTTTTATGAGTTGCTTTTATATATGGGAATATAAGTTAAGATTGATTTCCTGAGCAGTGATTGTGTTGAGCAGTTTTCTCGCTAAGCTCGTGAGCTCTGTCCTTTAACATCTTTCAGGTACTCAATGATTACTGCGTGACAAAGAGTCATGTGAGATACTATAGCTTGACTAGATTATTTTTGGCTTTAGTTATTCCAGTTATTTATTTCAGTATGAGTGACTCTTGTGGTGAGTTGCTTTGTTGTGAGAGTTGGATAGTATTAGTTATCCTGGTTTATATGTGGATTTGTTTGACGCATTATTTGTTTTGTTTAGTTGATGGTGTTAATTTATTAAGTTATTTTAGATGGCTGTGGATGAATTTGGGTGTTGGACTAAGTGTTCTTATACTTAAATTTGGGGGCGTGACAACTTGTATCTTTCTTGTACTAAATGATTTAATGTATTAAAGGATTTAATAACCAATAATACATTGGCGCCTTGTGAAATAATATTAAATATTTGTTACTTTCATTAAATCTTTTATTGCAAATATTTGATGTGTCTTTGTGTTACTGTGAAAATTCCAGATATCGGATGCAGTGATTGCTGCTCGAGCTCTAAACGCAACCCTTGTCGTTCCAAGATTGGGTGCGGAGTTTGAATTCCGTCGGATATACATGGTGTCCCATTTTATAAATTCCTTGAGGTATGATGTTAAGATTGTTGAAGTCATACCTCAAGGAAACATAACAGATCCTTACAAGGTAGAAATAGTGATATCACATTTACCTTTTGGAGCTTTTAACCTAGTCTTTTGACATTATCATGTTTTCTTTCTTTCTTTCTTTTTTTAGGTAATTATTTAACATTATCATGTTGCCTCAGGTTTGTCCTCCAAAAGTTCTGCGTCTAGGGTGGCTGACGAAGGTTGCATTGCCTAAATTGAGGAAACATGAAGTGATTATCATCAGTCACTTGAAGGTTGCAACGGAGGATGCCGAGTTGCAAAGGCTGCGGTGCAGGGTATCTTTTCATGCTCTTAGATTTACTTCACCTATAACAAGTTTGGGTAATGAACTAGTGGATACACTGCAAAGAATGGGGTATTTCATTGCCATGCATGTCCACGTCGAGTCCGATGCATTAGTATTGTCTCCAACAGAGGTAAATCTCATTCTGTAGTCTTTATTTTTATTATTGTGTTATTTGGACTTGTCCTATTCTTTATTTTTAATTTTGGTTTACTTTCTCCACCACCGCTCCCTCTTCATCACAGTTTCTGTCCACAATCAGCACTGCCACCAATGCTTCCTCCACAATTGAAGCTCTTACACACATCCCCAACAAGTCAGAACACTCCCCTCCTCCTCGATCACCTCCTTACACCCCACCCCCAAACCAAATTTCCCTGCACCCAAATCAGTGATCGCATGTCCAAATTAACACAAACAGTCACTATATCACCATTTGTTGGAATTGATTGCTCAATGCTGAAATTTGATGGCTGTGAAAAAGAAATGAGCTCATGGTTCTTCGCAGTATTTTGAATTTTTTATTTTATTTTATCTTTTAGGTGCAATATTTTGAAATTTGATGGATGAAATTGACACTTGATGTTGTGTTGGTTGTTTATGTAGATAAATTGGGAAGAAAGATTGGGTGTTGGGAATAGAGTAGGCGAATGTTAGAGGTAATTACATCTAAGGAAGCCTTAGAAACAAAATTAGAAATCTGGAGAAAGACATTAGAAACAAGAGGCCTAAAAACTAGTAAAACTAAAGTAAAATATATGGAATGTAATTTTGATAAAGTAGCAAACGATGACCACCAAAAAGTTACTCAAAACAACTATTTTCGTAATCTAGGATCAATATTACAAAAAGATGGGAGATAAATGGTGATGTAGCAAGTAGAATTCGAGAGTGTGGACAAAATAGAGGTAAGCTAGTGGTATCTTCTGTGACAAACGAACACTAGATAAATTAAAAGAAAAATTCTATAGAATGGTTACTATGCCAACAATATATCTTAAGGAGCAGAGTGTTGGGCACTGAAAAAGACTAGTACAATGAATTCCTGTAGCGAAAATGAGAATGCTACGTTTGATGATAATAGTAGAATAAAATAAATAAATAATGAACATATGAGAAGATAATTAGGTGTAACGCCTATAAGTGATAAAATTACAGAAAGTAGACTTAGTGTTACGGCGATATTTCGACGATGCACTTGTTAAAAGAGGAAGAGTTCCTTACTTAGAAGGTAAGATACAAAGAAGCCGACCAAAGCTTACGTGGGATGAAGTAATTAAAATATTAAAAAAAATTTAAATCTAAGAGAAGATATGGTGTATATTAGGAATGAATTAAAAAGAAAATTTATATGGCCGATCCCATCCATATGGAATAAAGGCAATGACAACGACGAAGATACACAAACATACATATAAATACATAGATATACACACACGCACATATGCACATGCATACACTGCCATACACATGCGAATGCACATATATACAGATATAATACAATATCAACCATTTAATACCTAAAAATAAAAAAAACTTGTTTCGCATACCACAATGGCGCACATATACAGATGTACACATATAGACATTGACTAATTGACATATAAACATATAGATATAAATATATTTATGGACATATATATCCATATAATATGCACACACACATACACACATACATGCACAAATATAGGCGTATAACATAAAGAGACAAATATGGGAACACATAAATACATACATAAATACAAATGTACACATACACATAAACACGTGCATACACTTATGGAATCTATTAAAACACGTGCATGCAAATATAAACACTTATATAACACTTATTCACACGTATGCACCTCCACACGCACCTTCCAGTCAGTTAATTTTAATTTTATATCTACACATATCAAAATCTTAGCAACAATCTAATTTATTTTATAGATATTTGAACTGGAATTGAGGAACTATCAATACCAATATTAGTCTGCAAACTTGTACTCACATATACACATAAGCGCACCTGTACATACACATATACACCAATATACACACACATATTTGGTTGAATTTCTCTTGTTTTGGATTATCTTCCATGCACACTTTACATTGAATCTTTTAATAATATATAGTGGATAAATCTATCACAAACACTTGATTAAAATTCAAGTCTCTCGAGAATAGAAATTCTCTCACTAGATTTAGAGAGACTCAATAGGTAACCTTGTACACACATATACACATATGCACACCTATACATACACATGTACACACATGCACACCTATAACTGCTACAATTTCTTTAGCGATAGTTAGTTAAACTGAATTCACCGAAAAAGCCTCTTTTTCGAGTTCACTTTAGTAATACAGTGAGGGGCCTTTTCCCCCGAAGATGCATTGGGAAGGGACTGAACTTACCAAACAAATGAGTCACATATACACTTGCTTGATTGAATTGCTCTTGTTTTGGATTTTCTTTCATGCGCATTTTACTTTGAATCTCTTAGTCATATATGTTGAAGTGAGATTCTACACGATCCAGAACGACACCGTTTCTCTGCAAAAAGAAGAGATGAATCTTGACCGACACTGGTGTGGTGCCTGGCAAAAGCTCTCCGACGATCAAGTTAGTCATTGGAGCTCTGAAGTAAAGCAAGAATTTAATGTGTTAATTGTGTCGTACCTCTTTGGTTTGCCAGACCAGTGCTTCTATAGCTAGTGGTCATTGTCCGTTAGAGTTGTTAAGATCGAGGAGAAATTTTCTAGGAGGTTAATCTACCCTTTTGAATTTGAAGTCTTATTGCTATGTTGCTCAACAGCCTTTGAATCAACTGAACAACCGCTTAGTCAATATCCTTATGAAATCTGAACTAATTGGCACTTTAAACTCTAACTGAATATTTTACCCTTATCAGTTGCCCCCCATTCCCAAGCTTGATTGTCATGCGCAGGGAATGCATTTTCTTTTCTTTCTTTATTTCACTTTATAAATCAAGTTAAAGAAGGAAGCTAGTCATCTTCTTCTATTCTCGTTATTGGGAGAAAATATAGGGATTTGATCTGTATTGGGAGTATGTTTAAGGATTGAATTTGATCTGATCTTAATTTGATTTTATATGATATTATTTTCATCAAGTGCCTGTTAGAGGCATAGGATCAGTGATTTGATTTACTTTCTACTTATATAATATTCAGTCTCTCTAAATTAATGACCGGCTCGGTCGTTATGTGCTGTTGATGAATCATCCAGCCTCTTTTCATTCTCTATCAACTTCCGTAAGGTCAGTACATGTTCACAAATTGCCCGGCCGAGTTTCACTCTTGCAGACAGAGCTTGCTCACTTGGAAGACTTCTCCAACCCTTGTGACTTGCAGACAACAGTATTTACAATCTGGAATTCGGTAAGCATGTGTGATTTGATTCTATATCATAACAATTTGAGAAATGGAATCTGGTTAGACTAGGGATAATGCATCGTATGGACGTAGTTCCCAAGCCCAAAGGATTACTACAATTTTATTAAATGGGAAAAATTTTCCGTCTTGGTCGAGATCAGTGAGACTTTATTCAGGGAGTCGGGGTAAAACTGGATATTTATTGGGCACTATTAAAAACCAGCACCTGCTGAACCCACGTTTACACAATGGGACATTGATAATTGTACCGTTCTTGGGTGGTTATTCAATTCTATGGAGCAGTGTATATATAATATGTTTATGTATCATGAAATTGTACACACCTTATAGACTGCTCTCACTAAGACTTATGCTCATGCTCGTAATGAAGCCTGGATCTATGAGTTGCATCGAGGTATCTCATGAGCTACCCAAGACGATTTGAAGCTATCAGTTGCAGATTACTTTGCCTTCCTTTAGTCACGTTGGGAGGAACTTGCTCACTATGAGTCCCTTGGTGATATCTCAACAGAGGTTGCATGGATTATTAAGGCTAGACACGAGTGCCATTAGATTTATTAGTGGGACTCCATCTAGGCCCTTCGTACTCAAATTCTGAATACTACACCTCTACCCTCTCTTTTCAAGGCTTTTGCTATTATTGATGGGAATGATGATGACGTCAGGTTACACCTTCAATGGCTCCTGCTACACTTCCTGCACCTAATACTAATCAAATGGCATTATTCGCTTCTTCTAGACCATCTGGTACTTGCAGCCGTGGCCATGGCAGTAACCGTGGACGGGGTAGTTCTACTATATGTGCACGCTGTGGAAAAACTGGTCATGCTAAGGATAAGTGCTTCTAGCTCTACCCATACCTCAGATCTGGCAGCACTACAACTTCTTCTACTGCTGCTATTTCGAGTCCTTCGGTGCCCATGAGCCACCTGTTCCTCCAACTGGATGTATTGATATGTATCAGTTGCATATACAAATTGGGTCTATTATCCGAGATCATTTATCACAGGCATCTCTCCCTTCAGCTACATTTGCTGCAGCTCACTTAGGTACAATCCCTTCAGCTACATTTGCTGCAGCTCACTTAGGTACCATCCCTTCAGCTACATGAACTACAGCTCACTCAGGTACCCCATCTGCATTCCATGCCTCTCAGTTTGGTATTGTTCCTCCAACTTGGGTGCTTCTGATCACATGACTGGTGAGTCTCGATATTTTTCGGATATAGAAGCATCCTCCGGGTAGGTACGACTTGCTGATGATTCTTTTACACTGATCATTAGTAAGGGTACCATCCCTTTTTCTCCTGATTAATCTTTACAGTCTGTTCTTCATATGTCTAAACTTTCCCTTAACTTATTATCTGTTAGTCGCTTAACTCGTTTCTTGGCTTGCTTAGTGACTTTCTTTCCTGAATACTGTGTTTTTCAGGACCTAGCTACGAAGAGGATTTTTGGCAGGGGGTATGAGAGGGACGAATTGTACATCCTTGGGACATCTCCAATTCTTGCACATGCTTCCGTATTACCGGACTATGGCAGGCATTCTTTTACGAACCAAACTCTTGATTTATGGCATGCTCGTCTAAGACATGCTAATTTTCAGCATTTGTTATTTTTGTTTCCTGCATTACGAACAGCTTGTAGAACCCATCAGTTTCGGTGCGTTGTGTGTGAGCTTTCTAAACACACACGCACCTCTTATATTTCGCGCATGTGTCGTAGTCTTTGTTTATTTGATCTTATTCATTATGATGTATGGACCTTCCCTTGTTACGTTTTTTTATTTTTTTTTTATTTATTTTTATTTTTTATAATAAGCAATTCATTAAAAGCGTTCAAAAGGGGAGCGCGTCCCTAGAAAACAAGAAGAAACTTGGGTCCCTAAGTCCCCAGGGAAGACAGAAACTCAATAGTCTCCTCAGCAGAGGAACATAGTCTACCCGAACTTAAAAAAAAAGGAGCTAATAGCAGAAGATTTGAGAACAATGACCGAAGATTCCTCTCCTTCAAAGGATTTTCTATTCCGCTCCTCCACAGACACCACCAAAGACACAGGGGCGCCATCCTCCAAAACCCTCGAGCTTGTGCTCCCACCCAACCCCCTCTCCAGTTGTCCATCCGACCTCTCGTAGATCTAGGCATAACCTTGTCAACTCCAAAGAGGCCTAACAAGAGATTCCAACAGTCAACCGCTACTGGACCAAGCAAAGGAAGATGGTTAACCGACTCTCCATTTCACTTACACATGCAACACCAGTTCACAGTGATATGCTTTCTCCTTCTCATATTATCCAGCGTCAATATTTTACCCCACACGACCATTCATGAAAAGAATGCCACTTTCGAAGGCGCTTTAGTTCGCCACATTGCCTTCCAAAGGAATACCGCCCCAGCTCGGTCCAAAAGGCATCTGAAGAAAGATCTCACACTAAACATTCCCCTAGAAGAAGGGATCTAAACAAGAGAATCCCTACTTCCTCCACGTATCACCTAGCTGTACAAAAACTCTAAAAAACCAGATACGTCATCCATCTCCCAGTCTTGAAAGGATTGCTAAAAAAGCACGTCCCAAACCGGTCTCCTGTGCTATCAAGGCGATAACAGTCGGCCATCGAGAAAAGAAAAAGCATTTTCTTTGCTGAAAAAGCACGTCCTAAGCGTTAATCAACTGTGAGGAGTGCTTAGGCATTACCCAAAAAACGCCAAAGATGTAAAAATTAAAACTCCAACAATCATACGCCACAGGATAATGCAAAAGAATATGATCCACGGATTCACTATCTGCTTTACATAAACAACACCAATTAACAATGATGTTGGCTCTCTTTCTTAAATTGTCCAATGTCAAAATCTTTCCTAATGTGGCAGTCCAAACGAAGAATGCGATTCGAAGAGGAGCTGTAGAACGCCGAATAGACTTCCATGGGAACTCGTGACCAACGAAATTGGACAAACACAAGAACATGGATCGAACACCATACCTATCATGAGCTAAAGTGTGATACCCCCGAATTTCCGGATGTGGGTTGGCCAGGCCCACACCCGATTACCCGAGGATATCAAAAACAAATTGATAATAAACGAACACAGAGTACAAAAGAATAAATAGGAATAAATAAGTTTGTTGAAAGAAAACTAAAAGAATAATCCAATAATAAAACCTCTTAATTAATTCCATTGAAATAATAAACTCTTTTGGTACAAACTAATCCTCCAAATAATACAACTCGGGAATCCATACTGTGTGGACCCCTAGAAAATCCAAACTGCAAAAGTGACAACCACAACTGTCTATAAGTGAATAATGAAACATAAAAGAAACTCCTATATAGATAATCCGGAAGAATGAAGTAGATGATCCCTGCTCAACACGAACAATCCCTGCTCCTGACGAACACCTGAAAAATAATGGTGGGTCAGGCCCATAAATAAGTTCTACTCTACTACAGTCCAAGCAGAGACTCAATACGCAGATACATCCTAGACAACTCAACATTAGCTAAATAGTCTGTATATGTATAATAAATACACACTATAGGACGCTCACTAGTCCATAGGTCTGTCTCAACCTGAATAGAAGGTAATATGCAAATCGCACATAAAATGGGCACGTATACCTAGACCTACCAGGGTACACAATGTCTATTATTTCCAGTTATCCATCCTAAGCAATATACGCACCCTAACCATGATCCTGAGATTCAAGCTCATATCATGGCTCATAACTATATATATATATATATAAATATAATCCATCCTAATCCAGAACATAAAATAAACATCCAATATGTCATTCAACTGTTTTAGTTGACCTGACATGGATACACGTAGGACTTAACTTTTTAGTTAATTCATTCCGTTATGCATGAATAGGTAGGAATTTGCATTTTGATCTAATCCATCCTTAATATGTCACCGTCCTATACCGGTGCATATCATCCACAAATCCAATAATTGATGCAAGAAATGCTAAATTTAAACATCAATTAAAATCCAGCATGCAAATCCGTTATAAAATTTCATGATGTCCAATAACTTAGCTTAATAGCCTAGATTAACCATTATGGGATTTTAACATAATTATTTGAATCATTTAAACCCACCCCCCCCCCCCCCCCCCCCCACATTTAAATCCAGAAACCCATTTTTAGCCCTTGAAGTTCCAAAAACCCAAAAATACACCCGTAGGTGTGTTTCCAGTAGGAGAGCCGCCTCTCCCAAAGAGGGAGCCGGCTCCCCCTTTTGTGGAGTAGGCTCTCCCCCATGGAGAGCCAGCTCTACTCCTTGTGGAGCCGGCTCTCCCTCTCTTAGAGCCGGCTCTCTCTATCCCAGAGAGCCGTAACTGAAACCCTTCGTCTTCTTCGCCTCCGGCAATGCTGCAAAACCCTCTATAATGTTTAGTAAGGTTCCTAGGGTTCAATTTATGTCCCAAAATTATCCAGAAAACATATAAACCAAGTATGCATTACTAATAGAATTTTAAAACACATATGCTGAAACAATTGATACGCTGCAGAACCCCCTGTAATGTTTAGTAAAGTTCCTAGGGTTCAATTTATGTCTCAAAATTATCCAGAAAACATATAAACCAAGTATGCATTACTAACAGAAATTTAAAACACATTTGCTGAAACAATTGATACGATGAATCAAATTTAATTTATAACACACAATCCAGTTTAAACTTCTAATTAATATGTATACAAGATCAGTTTTAAAATCCGATTACATCCTAGAGATTATCTAGGCATGCACAGAACACAAGTCTAAGGGAAAGATTTATAGATAGAACTTGCCTCTAGGTTTCGGATTGAAACCTTAAACTCTACTTCCTAGCTTTTTCGGTGGTGCTTGGCCGCCGTTGAAGTGTTCTACTGCTCTGGTTCCAACTCCTCAATCTACCTCCTTGGTATGACATTAAGTCCTAGGCCAAAACCCTAGTTTCTTCTCTCTCAAACACTCTCTGTTTTCTCTCGAACCTCTCTGTTCTTTCTCTCTGCCTCTACTGTTACGTGAATAGGGTTCTAAAACCCTTGACAGACACAACCTTACATATATATAGGTTTTATACAAATCCTAATCCCAACCCGATACCAAGTCGGCTAATCATAAAAGAAAAGAAAAGAAAAGAAAAATATTATTACATATACATATAAGGTCTACACGTGATAACTAAATATATATACATAACTTAATTATATATATATAACCTACTAACCTAAACTACTATTATTAGTATTAATAATAATAATGCTCTATCCTTATATACTTATATACTCAATTATATATAAACAATCATCCATATATGAGTAATTATCCGTACCCATAATCAACTCCCATTCAAGTAGTCTATGCGACCTAATTATTGGTCCATTATTACTATCCAAATCCATCCTTTTAAACTATCTTTCTAAACTAAAAATAAAATAAAATTCACATTTAATCTAGCAAATAAAATTACATTGAAAACAAACACATCATCTTTTAACAAATAATTTCATACAACAATTAATTTAAATAAACAACTTAAGCACACACTTACAATTAAACAGTTACTTCAATTAAACATATAAAATGAAGCCACATAAACACATAGCCACTTAATCAATTAAAAATGCACATGAAATAAATCATTAAATTCCAATTATATCATTTTGAGAATTAGGGGTATTACATAAAGGAACTCACAAAATATCATCACACCCTCTGCCAATATCCTTCTGCCTATACAACGTATCAAAAAAAACACAAGCTTCCTCCATTTCCCAATCCTGAAAGGGGCGCCTAAAACGCACATCCCACGTAACTCCATTGTTATTAAGTTGATAACAATCAATTATGTAGACATGCTTATTGACTGCAATACTGTGAAGTCTAGGAAAGGAGTGAGACAGCAACTGATCTCCGCACCAAGGGTCCTCCCAAAAACGGACATGTCTGCCATCACGAACTTTGAATTTAATGTGTGAGAAAACATCCCAGCCCTTCCGAATGAATTTCCACACAACGCCGCCTCCCGAAATAGTGACTAGGAGAGAGGACCAGCCCCCACTCTCCTCACCAAAACGACACGAGACAACTCTTCTCCACTGATGATGGCGTTCGTTTCCAAATCTCCATAACCACTTTCTCAAGAGAGCACGATTAAAAGGAATGATTTTTCGAATGCCTAACCTGCCTAACCTCAACGGTTGGCGGACTTGATCCGAATTAACAAGATGATACTTAAACTCCTCTCCCCTTCCACCCCAAATAAAATCCCTCTGAAATTTTTCAATCCTTTTATCAACAGAGCATGGAATTTGAAACAAAGATAAAAAGTAGGTAGGAAGGGACGAGAGAGTACTCTTAATGAGTGTGACTTTCCCCCCTTAGATAGATACTGTTTTTTCCATCCTGCTAATCTTCTCTCATATCTATTAATCACTGGGTCTCAATTCCCAACTCGCGTAGAAGAAACTCCCAAAGGCAATCCTAAGTAAGAAAGAGGAAAAACACCAACTCCACATCCTAGGACAGTTGCTAAGGAGGATATATTTGGAACATCCCCCACTGGAACAAGCACACTCTTTCCAACATTAATCTTTAGCTTAGAAACCGCTTGGAAGCAAGCAAGTATGCACCTCAAATATCTGAGTTGAGAAACTTCGACATTACAAAAAATCAAAGTATCATCCGCGAACAACAAATGGGAGATCTGCATTTGATGTTCAACATCTCTGCCAACTCTGAACCCCCTGATGTAATCCAAATATTCCGCTTTTCTCATTAATCTGCTCAGACCTTCCATGACAATAAGGAAAAGAAAAGACGATAATGGGTCTGCCAAGCTTTTGGAATATGGAAATCTTTTCAGAACTAAAAAAAAAAAGTCATAACAAGAACTTTGACATGCAAAACTACTTAATATAGGGTAAAGCTCTAAAGTGAAAATTAAAATACTTACAAAAAGCATGCTTTTGAGTGAATTCGATAGTGTTGAAAGGGGCTTGCCATGAACCATGGTTATTAAGGCGCGCCTAGGCTCCAGGCGCCTACAGGCGCATGAGAGGCGCCTCATAATAGCCCAGGTGCAGCGACCTTCATTAGGCGTGCGCTTGGGATGCGCCTCATGCTTTTATTCAGGCGCGCCTGATCACTTATCCATGTGTTATTCAGCTTTTTTCATGTGCTGTTCATTTTTCCATGTGGTGTCTAGCTTTTTCTACGTGCTGTAAATTTATAAAAGAATAAAATAAAGAAAAGCAATATAGAAACGTGAGACAGTGGAACAAGTAAAGGAAGACCAAAAGCAGAGAAAGAAAGAAAGAAAAAGGGTGCAGTTTGTTGTAGTCAACTTTGTCTTCTTGTGCAATAAAAGAATTCTGTTCAGCACACATGTGCTGGAATAAAAATAAGCTTTTGTAAATTTGTCTTCTTGTGCAATAAAAGAATAAAATAAAGAAAAGAAATGCAATGATCAAATAAAAATGGATACAAAGAAACGTGGGAGAGTGGAACAAATAAAGAAAGACCAAAAAGAGAAAGAAAGAAAGGGGGGTAGTTTGTTGCAATGAACTTTGTCTTCTGGTGCAATAAAAGAATAAAATAAATTTACCATTCCTGCTTTTTTATTTTTTATTTTTTTATTCTATTCTGTTTTTTTCTTCTTCCCTTAAGATTGTTTGGTTTTATGACTCAAAACCGAAACTAAGTCTCTTCTATTTGCTGTTTTTCTTAATGGAGCTTTATTGTTTTAATTGTGCTATTTTGCTGGTTGCTTTATTGATTTAATTGCGATATATTTAGTATTTTTATTACTGGATGTTTATTGTTTAATTGTGTTCTTTTTGCTGAGAATTATTGTTTTAAATTTTTACTTGTGCGCCTCACATCACTCGGGCGTGCGCCTCGTGCCTAGGCTCCAAAGGAACTCTAGCGCCTCAGTGCGCCTAACGCCTTTAATAACTATGCCATGAACTACCTCACACTCTTGCTTCCTGTAGTAGATTCTCAAATAGGATTAGTAAATTGGTCAAAAGAAGAGATAGGGTACTGAGTGGTGAATTGTTCAGAAATAAATTGGTAAATTTTTTATTTTTATTTTTTTATTGATTACCCAAATAGGATTTTCTATGCTTTAATCAGTCAATTGTCTAAAGAAACATTGTTAGTTAACTAAAATTGAATTAAACAACAATTGATTTTGGTTGATATGTTTTGATTTAGTCCACCCCATTGAGAAATCCTGGATGTTTTGTTTCACATAGAAATACAATTTGTATAATGCATGAAGGATATATTCAATCTTTCTGCCATATTTTTATTTTCAAATTTTGGTTTTTGATTTTCTTTTGTTATTAGAATTCAGAATATCATGATATTGATTTGTTAATTTTGAAGATTATTTCTAAACCGATGCATTGTACTTTGTTATTGGATTAATTTAACATAAGAGCTGAGTATAATATGTACTAATCACACCTATCTGTAATCACACCTCTTTCTACGAATAGGTGTCCAACATTTTGACTAAAAGCATAGTTGAGTTGATACATGATATAGATAGTACTTAGATGGTGGTGTTTTAATTGTTATGAGTGAGATTGTGAAGCCTCTTCCTCACAACTTGAGTGTTTTCTTATTTTTAGGGTTAGCATCGGGCCTTAACATTTAGCAAGAACAAGGTTCAAGAAACATGCCACATCAGTCATCAGGTAACAAATTTTTACTTTTTCTAAAATTTTAATTGGTATTTTTAGCTCTTGGTTATGCTTATTTATTCATGTTTTACATACTGATTTTTGTTTTTGTTTTTGTTTCTACATACATATATATAATATTGTTATGATGTAATGCTCGAACAATTTATTAATGGGAATTAAAGACTTGGAAGTTTAGTTTTCAATTTCAGAATATATGTTTTACAAGTTTATTAACGCTTTTAAAACTTCTCCTCTTTTGTCCTAATAATAATAATATAGGTCTTGTCTCTTTTCTGAAAGAAGAAAGTTGATGGGAGTGGGTGGAGTAGGGAAAAAGAAGATAGGTAATACAATTGTTGTTAGAAGCCTCAAATTCCCGCCAATACCTTGAAGAGCTGCCGCCACAAGCCGGATCTTTTGGGTTATACCCTGGACTTGCTTTATTATGATATTCCGACCAATGCCATTATACAGATTACAGGTCGCTGGCCATAGCTCGACTTGAAGGTGACTTGTAGCGAGTCAGATTTATAAATCAAAAAATCAAAGTTGCTGTCAAACAAGGGCAATCCTCCTCAGCTGAACCAGATTTGGCAGTCATCGGCGATAATCATCTCCGGTATAACAATGAGCTATGCCACAAAGTACTACTTGGTCCGGGTTGGAATTGGCCAACCCAATCCTCAGTACGTGTACATGATATTGGACACAGGCAGTGACATCTCTTGGGTGAAATGTTCTGTAAAAGATGGCTTTGACCCAGACAGGTCGCGTTCCTACGTACAACTAAACTGCGATTCACACGAGTGCAACTATCTGCCAGAAAAGAACAGAGATTGTCGGACAGATAAATGCTCTTACAAAATCATTTATATGGATGAGGCATCCTCTGCAGGCGATTTGATCCTAGAAATATTGTCATTTGATAGCTCAACATGGTAATTGGATGTCATACTGGAGTGCTAAATGTTTCAAAAAGAGCCATTGTGGAACCTGGGCGGTGATATGATTCTTGTTTCCCAGCTCAAAGCCTCGTCATTTTCCTACTGTCTTGTGGACCGTGACTCCACCTTGTCCTCTACTCTCGATTTCAACTCGACAGCGCCTAGCGATTCAGTCGTCGTTCCCATGATTCGAAACAAGAAATCCGGAATGCTCTTCTTCCTTGAGCTGACTGGAATCAGTGTTGTGGAGGTTTGTTTCTTGCAAGAATCTACTCCCAAAGGTGGAAGATCAAGTCCTATGTTCTATCTATCATATCCATGGTTATCAATGGTTGCCAGCTCTATCTCATACATGAATCAAGCTATGAATGCTTTTCCTAACCAGACTTATATGATCATCGGTTAAAGGGAGTGTACCTGATGATGTGGTTTCTCAAGAGAATATCAACTTTTCTTTAGCGTAGCTTCTTACGAGTGGTCTTGTAGCTAGGTCAAATCTTCATTCATTGGTAGAAACACTCAATTGCCTGAAGAGAGCTTTCTCATCGAAAGATCAATGCTCTTCTAAGGAAATATGAATTCAAATAGTTCTTTTGGTATGATGTCAAATTCGTATTTTTATTAAGTGTGATGTGGAATTAAAAGTCTTTATTTATCTTAGTGGACAAAATGTTTGATACTTGTTTTAAGTTGTTTGGCCTTAATTAAGAAAAAAGAACAAATTAATTTGAGATATACGGTTGTAACACTGAAGAAAATGGTTTAATGTTGTGAATCCTTGTTACGAAATTAAGTATGTGAGGTTTTGGTATGCTGAACTTTATGCTCTTCACAGGGTGGGTGAGCTACTCACATAGGGTAAAAAAGACAATGAGTCGAATTTTTGCAGATTACCAATTGTATGACTTGCCTAATTCATCTTCGGCTAGCTCTACTCAAAAATCAAATGGAATGGTTGTTGATCAACCCCTTAGAGAAGCATGTGAGCAAGTAGAGTCTCTTAAATCCAAGGAAAAAAGGTTGGGGTTACAAATATAAGGTGGATAGGTATTTGAAGGAATTTTGTGATAATCATACCCATGGCATGATAATTAAACACAGTTGGGAGCTTCTTGAGTGTCGTTCTTTAATGACCAGAAACCTGGATTCATAGTCTACATTTCTTCTTTTGTCTCTTCAATGTTCAGATTTTGTAATCAATGTTTCTCGAATCGCTAGTTCAAAGCTGTCCCCGTTTTGTGAATTTAGTTACTCTGAAAATTCTTGGTGGTTCAGAGATCCATTATCGTTTGTGTTTGATTAATTCAAGTTGGGACGATGGGAGGACGGACAATTATGAATATTTTAATAAAAATAAAAATAATATTTAATATAATTATTTATTATATTTATAATGATCATTTAATTATGGTTAAATTCTCTATTTTTGTTGCCATATACGATTTAAACTTTTACACTATAAATAGACCAGATCTTTATCATTTTGAAGAGCTAAGTGTGGATATATATCTAAGTGAGATTGAGATTCTTTATAAAATGCTTTCACATTTCTTTATTCTTATCTTTCTTACATATATAAATGAATTTGAGGAAAATTTTCTCCCCAATCACGGCACACCACACAAAAGAACGAGGCCCAATGCAGTTAAGAGCCCATAAAAGGAGACATCAAACATTCAAGCCGGCCCAAACAAAAGAACGAGGCCGAGTCCAATTTCGTTTAAACATTCCATAACGACCGTCATGAGTAGGAAGTCGCAGAAAATTAGGGGTCAAGGTTGCCCACATTCGAAACAGCCAATAACGACCCCAAGAAAATCTCTGTATAAACATATAAAGAAGGGATCAATACTAAGGCTTCGTTTGGTTAGATGGGAAATTTAATGAAAAATGAAAGTGAAGTGAAAGAAAGGAAAATCAAGTTTTCATTGTGCATTTAGTTAGCAAGAAATTTTTTGAAGAAAGTTGCAAGAAAATGTTATTTTGTTAGTTTGGATAGCATGAAAAAGAAAAGAAAATGATTTTACTTACCAAAAATACCCTTATAATTATAAATAGTAATAAAATAAATAAATTTGAGTTAGACGAATATTCTTTATACTTAATCAAGAATAATATGTGATATCATATAAAAAGTTTTGCATTTTTTTACAAGGACTAGAACCCTCGAATTTTTACACTTTGAAAGTTGAGTAAGTACTAATATAATTGACTAATTTAACTTCTGTATATGAAAAAATATTGATTATTATTATTAGGAAGAAATTATGTAAACTCTATTCTATTGTTAACAAAATCTTGAGTCATTAGATGTATGTCAATGAGTGGAACACGGTAGGACTCTAGCTAATATATACATATATGTATGTATTATTGTATGTTGTCTTGAGATGACATCGTTCATGAGCTAGTAGTATTACCAATTGCGAAAAATTGAGCAATTGCGGCCATCATTGAAAAATAATAATTTACTAATGGAAGAAAAAATTAAATTAATTTTACAGACACACATAAAATTACAAACAATTAAATTAATAATAGACAAATTAAGTAATTTACTGAACAAAGAAACTTTTCCTTTTTAATGAAGTCTATCAAGTTTAGACAATAGATATGGGCATAATAGGAAAAGCAAGAAATAAAGTGTACAACTTTCACGAGAAAGTAGATTTTCGTGTGTTTTATGCTCGAAAAAATTTGAGGAAAATTTTCAAATACGGGAAATTTACATTCTCCAAAATTTTCACTTTCTATCTAACCAAACTATTAAAAAATTTAATTTTTTTCTCTTTCCTTTCCTTTCTTGCTGCTTCTTGCTAACCAAACGGACCCTAAGAAAAAGGGCATCGATTTTACCTGCTCATTTTCTTCTGTTAGGCTTGCCTCAATTCAGTCACAATTCTTTTACTATAGTTTTTGCATTTATTTTTAAGTGTCCCGGTGTTAAATTTTTGGTACCTACAATATTCCTATATATATGCATATACGCAAATTTGAATATCTACTTACCAAAAAGGTTTATGGTGGTGTTCATTTGATGAGATAGATTTGATCTTGCTGCACAAAGAGTTGGTCTCTGAGATATTGGACAACCGTAGCTAGACCCATTTTGCTGCAATCAAGCCATTAATTATAGAAACTCTAATTGAAAATTGATGTAGCAGCACATATATATTTGAAACCCAATTTATTTGGTTATGGGAAATTGATGTATTGAAGCTCTTTCATCAATTGTTGTAATGAGATAGTAGTAATTATACACACACACACACACACACACTTTTAGGTGTGGCGGTGATGGGGTTGGTGGCCTGTAATGGTGGTGGGAGGAGGTGGCTGGTTGGTGGAGGGGAGAGAGGAAGAGGGGAAGAGATTAGAAGATGAAATTAATATTATTTTTTAATATGGGCAAACTTGTAATTTAATATAGTTAGATTTTTTTAAAAATATAATAACAAGAGTAGATAAGTAAATTCACCACAAAATCTAACAGAGAAAGAGAAAGGAAATGGATTGTTATTATAAACTTTCCTTCTCTCTTCTTCTTTTTTCTTCTGTTGTTGTTATTATTATTTTTAAAATTTTTGTATTACTAAATGACTATGTTAAGTATGATTAAACCTACTTTCATTTATTATTTTCCTTAAAAAAAACAAAAAAGAAAAAATGCAAAATAAAACCAGAAAAGTTCATACTGGTAGATTGTAATGTATCATAGAGAGGATAGCATAATTTGTTAAGAGTGACCCCAGTTATCGTAGTGGTGTCTAGCAAGTTTCTGATTTTATTATCTCATCCAACAAGACTTGGAATTAGCCTTTGATTAGAAGTATTTTTAACCATCGCAATGCCGATTTAATTTTTCAGATTCCTATTTTAGAATTCGTGGATGTTGACCAAGGAGTCTGGGGTGCTTCCCCTAATGGGAAATTCACAGTCCGAAGTGCTTACAGATTGGCAATGCAAATGCATCACTGCCCTCCATTAACTTCCGAGGAAACTTCTGTTAGTTGGGACCAAGACTTCTCTAATCTATGGAAGACCATTTGGAAGCTTAAAGTCCCAAGGAAGCTTCAACTGTTCATATGGCAGTGCTGCCATGAAAGGTTGCCGGTTCTTAGTAATTTAAAGGTGCGGGGTGTGGTTGCAAATGATTGGTGCCCGTTATGTGGTAGTCGAGCAGAATCAGTTTCTCATCTACTGTGCTTTTGTCCTATTACAATGCAGCAGGTATGGATTTTCCTACATGATTTGTGGGTCGGCTTAGCGAATGTTGCTGACCACTTCTCTTTGGGTTCCTTCATTTGTTGGCAGTTGTGGAAGTGTATGAATGATTAGTATTACAGCAGGAAGATATGGAAACCTTCTACAATTTTGGACCGAGAGTTATGATACAGTACTATGAATTTCAATGCTTAGTGATACAGGACACTTCTATCCACTTGACTAATCTTGCTCTTCAACCAGTTCTTGGGCACTAGAAACCTCCTGCTAGGGGTGTGTTGAAGCTTAATGTGGATGCATCTTTTTGCCCAATTTCTAAAGTATGTGGGGGTGGTACGGTGTTACGAGATTATGGTGGGAGAGCTTTAAAAGTTGCAACTGTTTGTTTCTACAACATTGGTAATGCTGAAGCTGTGGAGGCCATTATTCTTAAGGAAGGTTTGAAGCTCATGCTACAATGCGGAGGCCATTATCAAAATTTTAATTGTTTTTTTAAATGGAAGTTTTTTCAAAATTTTCAGAAATTTTTAATTCATTAATAATTTTTTAAAATCTTATCAAACTATTAGTATTGTGGTTGTGAAGTATTCAATTATTATTTTTTACGTTTTTTCAACTCTAATTTTATTTTTCTTTTTATTTGTAGTATTTCTTGCCATTTTAAGCACTCTTCTCCCCCAGTCCCCAAGTTCATTCTTATTTTGCCTGAATGTCTAGAGAAAGGTAATAAAAAGACAAATTCTCATGGTTTTAAGTTATAATTAACCTCCAAGAAATAAAAAATGAAAAAAAGAAAAAAAAAAATCAACTTCCCAAAATAGTAGCGTAGAATTAAATTAATTGTGTAAACTCTTCCATGCATCATGACTTGTCAAAATTAATACACCTAGAAAATTATTATTATTATTATTTGTATATATCCTTGCCCTGACAAATTGGGTAAAGGATGTATAGGCTTCTCAATTTAATTACTTTAATTATATGAACTTAAAGGAGGTTGTATGGTGTGACTGTTGTAAATAATAATAATAAAAATAATATATCAAGTCTCTAAATATTTGTCAGATCTCTTAGAGATCACCACTAAGGATTACCTTTCTATACACTTAATTCACAATTAATGAGGGGGAAAACATATGTTGCAACAATAGTGAGTGCGTGTAGTTGTTTTAACAAGTATGGATGACCATTTAAGTATATATTGTCTAAACAACATAGTGAATAACACAATACATCAAACTAAGTCATTAATCCTTCTTTAAGCTCATAATCCGAACACATCACATAATTAGAGAAATATACTACTTGCATTCATAAGTATAGAACATCAAACAACAAGCATGAATTGTCCTCCTATTTAACAACTAAGGTAACTACACTACATCTAACTAATGGCATGGAAATTAAACTAAGGGAGAAGCAAAATCCATTAAGAA